GAATTCATTTCATTATCTGAAATCTTGATTGTCGTCTGCTCGTTATAACTTATGTCTCTTATTTTGTTGTCCTATTGCCTTCACAGTTTCAAAATTGAAATACTACCCGTTGCAATAACAGTTGTAAAGTTACTTAATAAAATGTTATCTCTTCTCTTATATGAATTTTTTAATCCATAATGGATGATAATGTTACAAAATATGTCAATTATAGGGTGGTGAGATAATTTTTAAAAATATGAAGGTGTTCAATGATATTAAGGCAAACTTCAGGGGAGGTTCGTGAAATTATCCCCAGAAATAGGAAGGGTTTACGATGTAATCGAGGTGAATTTCCCATTAACTCTATACCAGTGTTGTTCGTTGCTGTTTGGCCATGAAATATCTCCTATCAATTATTGCACAATAAAAATTCTTTGATGTCATCATTTTTAATATGTTACTTTCAGATTTGGTTTGGTAGAGCTTGAATGAGAAAATTTTTGCGGTTGAAATTTTTTAATATTGTATAATTGCCTTGAGTAAACTTGCAAGAGACCTTATTCTTATTTTAGAGAATCTTCATAACAAACAACGACAAGACTTTGGAGCGGCCTTGTGGATAAACTTGCACGACTTGGCTTACTTATCTTTGCTAATGCTACTTCTGATATAACATTTCTTGAAATATTCTTATATAAAATATTGAACTTGCTTTGAGCTATTACATTTCTTTTTCTTTCCTTTTTGGACAATAATAATGTTTGGTTTACTAAGATAGAAAAAACTGTTCTTGTAAATTAAGTAATTAGAAAAATTTTTTTACTAAGCTTGGTTTGGATTGACACTTTTTGGAGAATTTTTTCTATTTTTTATGAATATTTCTTTTATACATTTTTCATTCATATTTTTATCTCACATATATACATATCATATTCTAAAAAATGGGTTACAGAAATTTTTCTCTAAAAATTCAACCCAAAAACATTTCACAGCATAATATACTTTCAACTAGCATATTAGAAGAATTTGAATGAACCTTTTAGCAGTCACAATCGATTCACATCAACCTGTTTGGATTGTTATTTTTTGAGTTTTTGCAAAAAAATATACTATAGTTATTTGATATATATGAAGCAAAAAAAGTGATTGATAAATATATTCACAGAAAACTTAAAATTTTTTTGAAGATCTAGGAAGACAAAGAGGATTCAACTTTCAAAACTACGGCCGCAAACGAATCGAGCCGATTGCGTGCAGTTTGAACCCGAGATTGAGTTGAAAAATACTAAATTCGTTAACTTGCGAGTTGGCTCGGCCTCAAATATATATAAATATATATATATATTTTAATAGTAAAATTACATATATATTGTTAACATTTTATTATTTGTTAAGAAAAATATTATTTTATTTTATTTTTAAAAATAAAAATTTTATTTTTTAAGCTTTAGCTTGGCTCAAATTCGAGTCAAGCTTGAGCTCAAACTCGAATTTTGTAAATTTATTTTGAAACTCGATTCGATTAGATCCAAACGCGATTCGACTCAACTCATTTACACTCATATTCCTAACAGTACGTGTCACGTTGGTTGCTAAGGACGAAATAATCCCTAATCATTTTCGTATACCCTTTCCTCCATTATCACTAGAGGGTAGGATTTGAGTAGACCCAAAAAAAATATTTAAAAAAACCTCCAAAAAAAAGGGGTATTAGATGCTTTCACACTGTAATGACGCGTTTCTTTCATTTTGGCCATGAAATGTAAAGATGAGAAGCCGATTATCCTAGTTTTCGGCACGGCTTCAAAAAATAGTCCCAACTGTCGTTTGAGAGAGAATTTAAAGCTCACGAACCAGCCATTAGTGCACTTAAGATAGCATTCGACCTCATTTTCAGAAATAATCTTTGGAAGGAAAGAAGAAACGTCAAGCTGTTAATGAAGTTTGTGGAATAAATACTTTGAAAGTTCATGTTTAATGTAATGGTAATGGTAATAGAGAATGTATTAATTGCCCCGTGGGATGTTAATTAGTAATAGATAAGAATGAGTTGCTAAAACAGGTTAAGAAATCTGTTCCTCAAAACTTTAGCTCATAAAGACAAAAAAAGATAAAACGATTCTAAGGGTTAAAAAAGAGGTTGAAGAAGATCATAACATAGAGGTTGAAGATTCTCAGGAGAAGCAGCTCAACTGAAAAAAAAAAAAAAAAAAAAAGAAGAGAAAATCAAATACTCCACAGCTCCAAGAATATTCCTTTGCATGATAATTGCCTTTTGATGATTGATGCTGACTTGCTATAATTATGCCTTGCAGAGTATGTGGTGGCAAAATATTTTGAAATGAACCTACGTATAAAACAAAAGCTACTAGTATACTGTATGATACATACTAGGAAAGGGGTAGTAATTAGTGAACGACAAGAATTAAAGGTAATAGGTACAAGCATTGGGAGAAAAATAAACCCTTCTCAATAATTTCTTTTTTTTTTTTTTTTTTGTACACAATTGGATACAGGAACGACCCTTTTTGACAGACGGACACCCGTTCATCAAAGGCATACATAGAGCTGCTTTTTTTTTTTTTTTCTTTTTTGGCCCTTTCCGCTAGATATTGATCGTCCCGACATTCTATAAAAGGGAAAGTGCATTTTCACCTAAAAGTCGAAAGCAATCCATTGTTATTAAGTAATGGAAAATTTTCAATTGAGTGGGAACTTCTATCACTCCCCAACCTTTTGCCCTGTTTACAGGGAATACATCCAAACATTTTCACGTGCTTTCCTACTAATCATAAAGCAACAAGTGATTTTTTAATTTTTTTTTAACGAGTATCTAATGAAAATCAGTTCAGTAGGTAAATATTATCAAGTATTAAGAAGGGTCGTACTGACATGGAATCAAGAAAATTGGGCATCATCAATGGTACCATGGCACAGTTAGAGCTGCAAACGAGTCGAATCAAGTCAAACTTTTGACTGATAGAGTCGAGTCGAGTCTTGATTTAATTTTATTAAATTCGAACTCGAATTTGAACTTGAGTTTGATTCAAATTTGAGATCGAGCTCGAAAAAATAAAAATTTTATTTTTAAAAAATAAATAAAATAATATTTTTCTTAATAAATAATAAAATATTAAGAATATATATATGTAAGTTTGCTATTAAAATAAAAAATAAAAATATATGCTCAAGCTCACGAGCCGACTTGCGAACTAATGAGTTTAATATTTGAGTTCGAGTTCGATTTGACCAACTAGAGCTTGATCAATATCGAGCTCGAGCCACTCAATGCAACGCTAGGTACAGCTACATTTTTTTTTAAAAAAAAAATAAACAGTAAGAAAGATAATAATTCACATTGCTGTACCATCTTCCGAGTCAATTTCTTATTTAATTCGCCTATAACGTTTCGTGTGGTGGTGGATTAGTAGCATATGCCACTTTCAAGAGACTATCCATTTTTTTCCGTCCTGCATCCCACATCGATTTGTTGGGGTCTGTGGGTTTAGGATTTAAGTTTCATAGGAGGCTCCAAAAGTTAGCGCCTTTTGGGGTTCTTCTGTGAGATTAGCTTAGATATTAAGTTTGTTGATTTCAGTGGAAAGAGTCTATCCATTTTTAAATTAGACTAGAAAAAGCTCATATGGCGGTGGAAGAAAGTTCCATCTACCTATAAACCTTCATTTTGTTATTATTATTCTTTTCAAGAATGAAAAAGGAGAGGGAAATGTATACAGATCAACAACTCCTAATAAAGAACAAAAAGTTGTGGATGGGCAGTAAGGACAAACCTAAATTATGCAGGCCTTCTCTAGTCTCTCTTGATAATAATAAATATATGTTTTTGTATTTGTATCCAATATTGAAATGTGTATACATTTCTTTGTTGGTGTGTAGTTTTCAGGATTTTGGCTGTTTGGATAAAGTTGAGAGAAGTTTGTTTGTTGACCCAGAAAAGGCATTGTAGGAAGGACGCGGGAGCGTTGGGCATGTGATTGATTGTTGCCATTTGATCCCATAAGTTTTCGTCCATCCATTCATCAATCCTCTGATACGCCCAAACCCAGCCTGGCTTTCTACGATTGTGTGGACAGATATAAAGATTCTGTCCAGGATTTTTTGCATCTAAAAAAATGCGTTTTTTTTTTTGGTCTGTTGTTGACCGACTTCACGGTTAAAGTACAAAAAAAAAAAAAGAAAAAGAAAAAGAAAGGACATCGGCAAAATTAATCATTCAAACATGTTTCTCGCGCTCTTAGTCTACTATAATAAGAACCCGTTTGAATTGCTATTTTGAAGAATTTTTGTAGATAAATATATTATAATGATTTGATATTTATGAGTTAAAAAAGTGATTGAAAAATATATTCAAAAAAACATAAAAATTTTTACAAAAAATTACAATCCAAACAAGGAGACGCTACGACTCGGACTCATCGTGTAGCTGCTTATGGAAGCAAGACTTGTTAAATTGAAGAATTTGGATAATGGCTTCAAATATGTAATGCTTTTCTTTCGGTTCTCAGCAATGGTTTGATGATGCATGCACAGACGTCAGCGAAAAGGATGCAATAATTGTTGGTCACAGCTCAGAATTTAAGGCTTCGTTTGGGAGTGGAGGTTTCGGACAGAAAAGAAAGGGAAAGAAGAGAAAGTTAGCTTTTCTTTCATTTGTTAGTTTTTAGTAGGAAAGAAAAGAAGGGAAATGGAATGATTTAAGAGGATGAATAGTATGCAAAATTTTTCCTTCCAAATTGGAGAGAAATGGAGAGAAAGTTGGAGGAAGCTTATGAAAGTTTTTTAAAATACCCATTTTATCCTTAAAAATGTCTTGAACAAATATTTAATGACTTTCATATCCAAAATCATTCCACTAATTCTCAAAACTCCCAAACAACATAACAATCCCTTCTCTTCTCTTCTCTTCTCTCATAACTTAAGTTTTCCCTTCTTTTCTTTTCTATCCTAAACTCCCAAACTTAGCCTAAGGATTGGTTAAACTGTAGAATGAGAAAACATTGGACGCAATAACTTCCCATGCATTCATTTTGCAAAAGAAAATGAAATACAAATGTGACAGGTAAATTGACAAGTCAGTATGAAGCCATCCGCAGAAGAACTAATGAAAACTGCATTTTTCACATCCTTTATTCAAATGTGGCATGCCCAAGTTGCCATCAATATGATTAAGCAGATCCTCCTAGGAATGGACCTCTCGGAGAGGGAACTTCTTCAGATGGGATAAGGCAGTTGCCCCCTCCCTAATCCTGTAAAAGTAGGCCTCCAGATGAGTTAAATAATCACATTTATACAACTCTTTCAACTTTCTAAAGCGCCCGTGAATTCTACCTTCCATTGGAACTTGAGGCTTTTGAGCAACCGGCTGAATTCATTCTGGCAGAAAATTGTGCTTTGTCATAGCTTGCAATCCCCTGATTTAACTGATGCATCAGCTCAGGCAACACACACCCTCTCCATGTACATAAAAACAAGAACAAGAACCAAAAACGTTGGCATAAATGGCAATTAGCAAATAGTTGAAGGAACATTACTGAGAATATTTTCTAGTAGCATACTGCTAACAAATTGTATTCTGCAGATGCAGGAAGATTAACCTGAACCTTAGTGTAAGCAACTAAAAGTAATTGTTCCATCCATCAATACTGCTGTTCTTCTTTTTGACTCCATTCGACTTGTTTTTACTTTCGTGTTCCCCCTCACTAAATACTAAAGAACTCTTATGCAAACACGCTAGAACTACAAGTTGAAAAGGAATTGAGATTTGAGAAGGCAAATATATAGCACGCATTCCCCAAAAAAAGAAAAAAGATGGCATGAGTTGAAACCTTCCCGCCTGACTGATTACTTACACAGACATGCATAACTAGTTTACTTTCGAAGAAATTGAGTGCCCAAGCCACACAACAGGATAGCTCTAATGTACTAAGAATTAACCCAACATTGTTGGCTTCTCATAGTTTATGATCAGGTTCAAAAAATAAAAAAGGATAAAGGAATTGTACCAAAGGTTTCTGCCACCCGCACAAGTGTCATCTACCATGGGTCCATGAATAGCAGCATGACAATGTGATCTCAACATGATTGAGGCACAGGTCAATCCAATTATCTGAAAAACCACTAAATTAAAGTTACAAACTTGGAATTCCTGGCAATTGCTGGACTTTATTGACCTCTAACTATGTATATCCAACTCTTTTAAGTGCAGAAAAAAAAATTTTTATGCATCAAAATGCTTAACTTGATTCATGTTTCAATCAGACATAAAAGCAACTAGTAAGAACTCTTGAGTTATTTAAAAGCGCTATACACGAACACTTGAACAAATTCAAGTACAAAGCTCAATTATAGTAGAATCATTAGCTTTTAAAAGAAGGAATTATGCAGGAGTTAAACTAAAGTGCTGAAGAAAGAAATTTCAAATTTCACCACATCAACTATTATGAAGTCTAGATGGTAAAGTGCAAAGTAACTTAGGGCCATATAATAGATGCTAATCACTTACAATATTTCACACACTTACATCTCACATTTACTAATTTTAAAACCCATGGATTTCCTTTTTCATGGTATCTTTCCCAAGATTACATGTTCTAGAGTAAGAAACAAGATGCTTTGTGAAAATCAGATACATCAACTACCATTAAATCCATTAAATAGGCACCAGGTTAGATCCATCCACATAACGCCACATTTAAGATGCAGAAGGAAGCACTATAGTGCATGACTCATGAGATTCTGTCACCTTTAATAGTCTCATTTGGTCAAGAAGAAATAATTCACTTGCCAAAACATTGTAGATACAAAAAATTAATAAGTTTGTTTTTGTCAAACGCATAGGATAAATTTTGAACTTCACCCTTTTCTTTCTTTCTATCATCTTAACAAAAGTTAATTGTGGACTTCAGCAAAGAGCGTATTTGTTATAAAAAATATTTACCAGACAGCAGGCTAGCTGAGCAATCTGCCTCGGAAAGCGCAAAGTGAACCATACTATTTTTATCATCACTCCTCAGGTTCACCAAATTTCACTACATGTAAGCTCCTCCAGCAAGATTGCTTCCTTGAGATACAACCTGCAATGTGGTGCCTTTGGTAATCCAGGCAGTCAGTTGCGGTTGATCCTCGAAAGGCGTAAGAGGATGCACTTTTCCATCATCCAACTTTACACCATAAACAAAGGGAAGCCTGAGTGAGAGAAAACTGTCTGGAGGCAAAATTACCCGACAGCCAAGGCCAAATTGCAGCTTTTCTTTGCAATCTGGGACTGTTGAAGGGAGGCATGAATCCTGTGAATTAGCCAAATTATCTTTGATCAATTGAAAACCGTTCCAAATAACATATTGTTGAATACACCAAATTAAGCTGCAACCATATCTATATTATTCAATTCTAATCACTTGAATGATTCGAAGCTAATATATGATAACATACCATCACGTATTTAAGATAATATGTCATAATGATCCAAGCATGCAATGGAAGCAAGTCCTATTTTTTATAGACCACAAGCTGGTGCAATAAGCAGTCACAGTTGAGTCAATTATCAAACAGTAGTTTGAATTTCTTGCACACCAAACAATTTTACATTTGCAACAGCAACACCTGAATCTATGTTGAGTTGATGACTATGGTCATAAAGAATACAGTGCCGATGCCAGCTTGGTGCAACCTTGGATAGCAGTAAACACTTTAAATAGTTTAAAAATTTAAACGAGTCGTTTTGAACTATAAATAGACAACTCATATTCAAATGTCCCAGGAAACAAATAAAGCAAGTTTGTAATGAAAAATCCTAATAATGATGAAAGCACATTTCCAGCAACTGGTGCATACCTCAAATTGCACAACTGGGCAGGCTGCTAAAATGACTGGAAAGGCAGGCGTGACCTACACATTGAGCAACACAATAATTAAGATGCGCAGTCACAATAAAATAATCAACAGCATATCAACAGTATCTGAATTCATAAAAACCACACTGGCAATGTAGATCTTAGGGAATAAAATAATGTAATTAATCTCCTTGGGTGTCCATTCACATGTGATGTAGAAAGTATAAAAGAAGGCTCTCATGGACATGCATGGCAATGCAGTAACTTTTATTTAAACGTGCTTCTAAAAATTCACTTTACCATGGTGGTATAAATCTGAATCTAAGTTACCAAAAGAAGACAAGATAAAGATATGACAAAGTGAGTCAGATAAATGCAAAGAGAAGAATAATATCATTTACAAGCTTGGACTAATTTCGCACTGATGACTATCAATATGCATGACCAACCCCATTTCTAAGTTCTATCTTAGAGATGCTATTCCTTTATTATCTCCGACTTCATACATGTTATAGCCTAACAAACTTTTCCAGAGATCTAGTTTCATTACCAAGACAAGTATTAAGTAATCTTTACTGGCCGCTGGAAGTACAATTAGGCAAGTAATCATCCTGTGAAAACCTTTAAACTTGCATTGATGCATCAAAGAATAGAAATTCAATTTTACATGAGGCATGTAACTGTTTACTAAGAGAAGATAAATATATTCAGACACTCACAGTCGCACTTAATTGTTAAGATGATAAAAGACATTTTTTCATACCAAAAAGATCCTTTGCAGCTGTGAAATAGTGCTAGCAAATTTAACATTCATTGTATCTTTTTTCTTCCTTGACTCCCTGCAGTGAGGGCAGTTCATGTAAATGGGTAGACTTCTATTCAAGAGGGAGAAAGCAGTTCCACCATCATCAAGATTAACAGACTGAAAACCAGCTGCAAGGTCCATCACTGAAGAAGTACCTTTAGCTTCACTGAGATTTTGTTCTCTTAATATATTGGAAACTTGCATCTGTCCATTTTCATATACAATTTTATTGGTGCTTCTCACTTTTGACTCTTCCAGATTACTTGTCATGCGAAAAGCATTGTTAATAATTCCGTTTGACTGTTTGCGTGCCCTAGCATGACCACCATTCTTACCAGATTTAGAAGAATCTGCCATATTATGATCTGAGTTCTCAATGGATGATGTAACAAGAGATTCTTCAGGCATTGCATAAGGGGAACCAAGGCCTTTGAGATGATCTGGCGTCAATATAAACCGGTGCCCATGGGGACACTCATGCTCGAACCCAACATAAATCGATACATGCTTCAGAGGAATAAATTCTCTCACCTTACTCCAGTAGCCATGTTCAATGGAACATCATTGCTACCTATCTGTAATGGTGGATCACTATTTGCATCAGCATTAGTATTAATTGCAACCCCATTGGTTGCATGATCAATAGTAGCAATATTTGGAAGTTTTTGAGACCCTTGATTATTGGCAATTTCCATGGCCTTTGACAAACCCTTCTCTCTTGTATCATGCTGCTTAATTCCCTTCTCAGAACCTGGCAGAGGTTGTTTTCTAGTCTGAAGAGGAGGAAACCCTGAATGTGTTCCAGCTGATCCAGCAACCACCTCAGAAAAAGGTTTTCTCATTGTCGAGTTGGAAACTCCCATCATTTTGTCACTAGCTTTATTGTTTAATAAAGGCTGCCTTTTGGTACTTCAACTTCACTCTGCACTTCTTGTGCCTGAAAATGAGCATCACCAACCTTCTTTGTGTCTTTACCTGCAAGAGGTTTCATCTTTTGTCGCTGCCACTTAATTATTTGAATAAACTTGTAGCTGATTACTCAAAGACAAACCATTGCTTATCTTCTGTTTTCCAAGAGCAATTGACCATTTTAAAAGGAATTTCTGAGTTGTACCAAAGCCACTTTGGAGTAGACCTTTTGCAGGGTTATAGTACCTTGCACCACCAACACGTATCAATCTCCAACAAGAAGGTTTAATAGGCCCTTCAACACTACCTTGAGGGATATGTAGTGCAGGAAGAAGCTTGTCACATTCTGGAAAACAATTGAAAGAAATGTTGGCTGTTTCAAAATCAAAAGGATCGGGTCGTAGTTGTCTTGAACGACCACATGCACATGCATGAAGGAATACAAATCCACTGGAATGTGGCTTGATCTTGTCGGTTACAAGCAAATCATCAGTTCCAACACTGTGTCTTTTATGCATGCATGGTTTTCCTGTCAAACTAACAGCATCACACAATTGTCTACCAGAACTCCAGATGGATGTACATTCATCCTTGAGTTTTTTCATGTAAATTTGCACGGCAGGCCCTTTTACCATTGACTTAAAAGCCACCAGAGCCCTCTCCAAGTGGGCTTCATGCCGTGAAGTTGGATAACAGGGTGGCAACTCATTCAGATAAATCTCTTTAGCGATTGGAAGGGATTTTTCACACCACAAAGTAGAAAATTTGGCGCACAGCCCTCTACCACTCTCCAAAATAGATATGGCATTTTCTAAGGAATCAGTAGCTTTTGCTGCATTCCCTTCAACGGCAGGCATAGCAGCATTTTGTTGGTCCGGTTTTCTTTTGCTAAATTCACTTTCGCCAGTATACCCTGGTTTCACAGAAAGGATTCCATGGAGAATTGGTTGACTCAAAGATAGCCAGGTCTCTAAGCTGGGAAGTTCAGGAGTACTAACTGTCTTCCCAGAAGCAGCTGAGGCCGCTGCGGCAGCGGCAGCAACTGCGACCATGCCAACACCAGTAGCTGGGCCACTGCTGGTGCTAGTTACCATACCCCCTCTTCCTCGCAGGATATCAGACTGCCTTAAAATGAATTCTTTAACTGAAAGTATGTCCTCCTTGTTTGCACTCTGGCTATTGCTTTCGAGCAAAAGAGAATCTGAAGTTGCCTTCCCATCAATAACATCTTCAACAAGGCGAGTGGCAAACTCAAGAGATTCACCTCTATGGTTTGAGCACAAATCTACAAGTATAACAGCTTTTGATGCATCTAGCAAAAATAAAGGTGCTGCACTTGAAATGCCTCCACTTCTTGTACCAGCATGACCAGTTTCAGAGCTTGAAAGTATTCGGCATTTTTTGATAGAGAAACGAATTTGTGCTTCAAGGGATGACTGTAATTTCTTCCTGAAACCACCTTCAGGTTTATTGACAGGACGAGCCAGTACAACAACTGACCCAGATCCCTTTGTTGGTAAGTTTGGCCTAGCCATATTGTTTGAACTTGATGACTGACTTAACGGGGAACCCTCCACTTGCTCTCCCAAAGCAGAACTAGAATTAGCATCACTAAAATCATCAAGAAAAATGAAAAGAATAACAGGATAACACTGTCCCGGCAATAAAGAGGAGTGTGAACCTAAGCCAGACATCAATGTCACTGCAGCACCACGATTTAAGATGCTGCGGCTTCTACCAGGAGATGGACTATTTGATGATGCTCCTGACAGGAACATTCTAGAAGAAGATGAAGCATGAGAATTTGGTGTCAATGGTTGCATACTCTGTGATTTGAAATAGGGAGACATAGCATGTTTTGCAGCTTGCAACACTCGAAACTTTTTCAAAATCTGTGTGTCAAAGCGTGATCCTTCTTGGGTTAATATTAGTACATGGCAAACCTGCATTGCTAAATAAACTAGAGTCATTTACTAGTTGTAATTAGAACAGGAGACCATTTTATTCAAGGGAACTAGTAAATTCAAGAATGGAAATTAAAAAAAAATGGAAATAGGAATATAACAAAAAAAAATTCTGTTCAAATTTGTAATTAAACTCTGAAACTATTGGGAATTGCAAAAATTACTCTGAGAAAATAACTTTGCAAAACTAGAACCATGGTGTTGAAGTAATAGTGTCTCTACTTCAGAAAACTATAAATTCACTTTTCAGAACGATTCAAAAGAATCTTCTGAAATTAGTAGGTAATCTAAGCCTACAACTTCCTGCAAACTTCTGTTTCAATCTTAATGTAGTCCTCATCAAAATTGTTAAATTCCAAACTCTTCATCTTGCTGTCATAACACAGATGCCCAACATACTCATGCAGACCTCCTTTTAAGCTTTCATGTTTATCTAAGTAGAATACCATCTATAGAAAGGAACTGAATACGACTTCGTATCTAGATATACGTCTATGAAGCAATTAACAACTTAATGTAAAACCTTCTACAGAGTGCAGCCTCCTTCAAGAAACAAAACTATTATCGGGCGAGTTGATATTAAATTACCAAATGAATCTGTTCCTATGAGCATCTTATTGATGTACCACTATACTTCTAGATTCTTACCTTGCATGTGATAGATAGTTCATAATACAGTCTGAAGACAGCTTTCTTGCATGAATATGCAAAATTTCCCAACCGTACAGAGTGGCAGAGATAAAAAAATCACCTATTTATAGATGCAACTCAAAAAGTATCCAGAATTCCTACTTATATTTTGGTCGGACAAGTGCAATGATTGATGTGTACAGACCTGGCTATCAGACAAAAACTTGAAAGGCGGCCAATGGATCTCAAATGCCACCTTCTCATCCATGGGAAACTATAATAGTTATTCTCCATAGATAAAAAAAAAAAGGCCATTTTAACTATCAAATCCAAACTCATGCCACGCCTTACATTTGCAATGCTGAATTAAACAAAAAAGGCATCAACTTCGAATATTTAACTGAATGTCTAAGTTTGCTAATCTGCCTATGAGGTGTAAGCGTTAAACAGATAAACTTCAGTCCCTTTTTTAATCTACGACCTAAACATATTGAGTATTTTAGACAAGAATATTTGAATCTTTATACAAACAACTTCACAATATGAAAAGAGCCTTAGAATCGAAGGTAACAGCACAAATAAGATTCAGAATGTAAATAAAGTTAAATGCTTCATAAACAATAGGGAACGAGAATGCTCACAGAGAACATAAAAAGCAATCCTTGAAGATCACCGAATTCACGGTCCTCGAATAAAGAGTCAAATCCCAATTGAGACTCCAAATCCGCGTCCATGATAGGACAAGAAATCGAAGAAAACTGCAAATACAAAATCCCTTTTTCCTCCTCAAAATAATAGCTGATGCATCTCAGCTTAAACCACTCCTCAATCTCCTCACTAATCAATTCTTGCTTATTGAAACGAAAGGGGGTGTCAAGATTCCCAGAACCAAACACATTTGCGTCAATAACTCGGTTAATCAGTTGGGTTACATCGCCGTGGCGCCTGCCCACGAAACCCACTACAACGATGCCGTTTTGCTGAGATGGGATGGGAGTTGGATTTTGGGTGGGTGAAGGATCAGGTGGTGTAGGAGGAGGAGGGGAGGGTGGTGGTGGGTTTGGAGTTGGGGGCCGAATAAGGACTCTCATAGGTTGGGAATTGGGGTTTGGGGAATCCATGTATGGAATTTGAACTTGGAGGTTTTTGCCTTTTTCCCTTCCCTTACTTGTTTTCAGTTTTGAGTATAGCTATATGGGCTGTTGTTTTGGAAGTTTGTTGCATTCAGATGATATTCTTACATGGGAGGTAAGATAGCTGCTGCTCTGTTGAAGAAAGAAGATGACCAGAATTAATTTAAAGAAAATCAATCTAAAAAGATGGTTGTCTAATGGGGAATGGTGCTGCCGCATACCCGCCTGGAGGGTGGGGAGGAGGAGGACAAAAGGTGACAAATTTTTCGATTTTTTAGGCCGTCAAACAGAGGGACTATAGCAAGTTTACACTAACTATTTAATTTTACTTTTTTGGATAACAAAAAATTTTGAGTGAGTTCAACTTCAGCCATCACCACATGGATCAAATCAGGACATGTATTCGAGAACACATAAAAACGTTCTTTCTGGGGGGAGGGTTGGGTTGGATTGGGTGGTAAGGAGGAGGGAGTATAAGTAAAAAGTATCAGATTCGAGTTCTTCCGCTTACACTAATTTAAAAAAAAAAACATTCTTTCTAGAGTAGCTGTTAATATGAATAAGAGGAATTCTATTATAGCCATTTCTGTACATTTAATGTACACCGCAAATAGAGAACTACATAGAGTTGAACATAGTAAAATAAGAAATTGAAAGATTTTGTTGAAATTGTTCGTTTGGAAATTTTTTGAAAAGCTAATCATGGGTTCTTCTCTCCATCGGAACAATAGGATCATTTTGTTCGTTACTAAACTTTGTTGAAAAGATTAACCAATGACCCACGAAGAAGAAGAATCCTAGGACGATGATGATATGAAAAGTAGCTAACCAACTTCTAGGAGAGACATAATTAACTACATTGGTCTCAGTAGCTACGCCTCCCACGGAATTCAAAAAATCTAAAGGGACATGAGTCGTATATTTTGCAAAACACCAATCTTGCAAAGATTGTATGTCTTTTTTCAATTTACTCAAATTCAATTCATTTGGACCTCTTATATATTCTAATAATGGAGTGTGCAAGTTCAAAAAATGCATGGTTTCTCCTCAAAAAATGATTTTTCCAAATTGCAAACTTATTTAATATTTAATTAAAGTAGTAGACCCTTGGGCGGCACATTAGTCTCAAGATGTTGGTCTCTAACTAAAAAAAAAAGAGTAAATGTCTAAACTTGAAAAGTTTCTGGGAGTTTTTACAGATCGTTCGTCAATATAACTCTCTCATCGATAACAGAATTCGAACAGAACACAATCTTTTATAAGGAAGTGCCCGTCGTTGTCACTAGATTACTCTGTTTTCTTCAGCTACATAGAAAAAGGATTAGGAAGGAGTGAATAAGGTACAATAATCTTCGACCTTGTAATTTTTCACATTGAACTGCTTGAGAAGGTGTTTAATGAGTACTTCTTGTTAACATTATAGATTTATGATTTATACACAAAAAACTTGTATGACAGGGTGACTAAGTTCCAACTCATAGATTCCATACTTAAGCATTTCTATGTATTTATTACCTTTAAGATTATGAGATTATGTGGTATACTTGGTATGCTTTTGTAATTGAAGGACGTGGGTACTTTCTTGATTTTATTTCACTTTACCAAAAGAATTTAACATTGGCTTCCTCTAACTAGTGTCCAGCTGTCCACTAAAAATCAACTAGACATATCTCTTAGCTTCTAAAATTATATGACAAGTCATGTTCAAGAGATAGTAAAATAAAAAGAAATGTTTAGTGGTTAATCTTGTATATAGCAGTGGTACATACACTAGTGAGTGTGGGTGTGAGTCACTTAATCTCAATTCGAGCTTGAATTTCAATTATTGTACATTGTGACATGCATCTATGTTTATTATCATATACATTATTGGTGTATATAATATTGATTTAAATACTTAATAATCAATAATCTAATGAGTTAGCACTACTTTTTTCTTTTTTTTATTAGAGTTTTACTCTTTTAGACCTAGGATGTGGGGGGAAATGCAAGAGGTGCAAATTGAGGGTAAATGGTATGTGTATGGAAAATATTTAGGTGAATTTTGTATATTAGGATGCAATCAAAGTTGAGATGAGTTGAGTTCACATACTATGGCTTTTGGAACCACTTGAAATAATTTTAAATCAGGTCAATCCAAACCAAAACAAATACTTTAATAGGAAGACAAGATCGCTAGATTGTAAGTTTTAATTGAAACTCACAATGGTGGAATGCATACAAATGGAGCGCATATGACCAACAACACTATGTTATGTTGTCAAAAGTTATTTAGCAATTGCACACTAGCTAACTCCTCTAATCAACTCATTCTAGAGGAGTTGGCCACCTCATTAATTATGGGGTAGGAGGTCAAGGTTTATCTCCCATCAATATGCCTCTATATGAGACTTGTTCTAAATTCATACGAGTGCGTGGTACACCCGTCTGGTCTGATGGTCGTTTAGTTTCCATCCGATTCTGTCAGGACCAAAGGAATTTGAGTACATGTAGTTTAGTGTAGGGAATTGTGTGTTTTAGAAGCAAACAATAAAACGACACCGTTACACTTAAATAAGGGCGGTGATTGTAATTGGAACACAATTGAATACCATTCAATAGGGGCAAATTGCATAAATAGCCCTTGTAACAGAAATACAGTTATTACATTTATTGCAATAGATTCACTCTCCTTCCCTCTCTTCTTTCTGTTACTTTTCCCCTTTCTCTCACTTTCCTCTACTTCTTCTTCTTGTTCCTTCTCTCAATTTCTACTCAATTTCCTGATTTAGCCTGCGAGCCTAACATTTGGTATCTGAACGGTTAATTCTTGGCGGCAAAAATATCCGAAATGGCGGAGAGCATGAGATTTAGGACCCTGGAAGATCAACTCAAGAAGCAAGAGCATCAACTTCAGGAACTGATGGGATCTATGACGACGTTGCAGAATGCAAGTTCTGAAGAGTTGCGGCAAAAGTTCCAAATAGAAATAGAGCAAAACAATGCGAAATTGGAAGCGATAGTCGGAGGCTTGGATCAGAAGTTCAATAAGGTGGAACAAAGATTCAACATAGTGCTGAAGCTGCTGATGAAGGAGAAAGGCCTGCCTGACATTGATGGCGGCGGCGCTGAGCCAATCCTTCCCACACCACCAGCTCATTTGAGATTAACATCATCAATCGAAAGGCCAGGGATCCAGTAGGAACATAGAGGTAGACAGTTCACCCCTAATATACCTCAAATGGAACTGCCAATGTTTAGTTCTAGAAATCCTAAGGAATGAGTGAGGAAATGCCAAAAGTATTTTTTGAACTATCAGATTGCAGAAAACCAAAAGATAGATGTGGTAGAGATTTTTTGGAAGGAAAGGCTGACAATTGGTTTCAAGGAGTGAAGCTGGTGAAGCTTGGTATGCCTTGGGGGGAGTTCAGTGAGCTCCTATGCGAGAGGTTCTCTGGGAGTAGTTCTCGTGACATTGTGGAAGAGTTCAACAAGTTGCAACAAAAAAGTACTGTGGAGGCATATGAGGAAAAGTTTGAGGAGTTGAAGACACTAATACTGATGAAAAATTCCAAGTTGGATGAACCTTACTTTGTATTTAACTTCATTAGTGGTCTCAAGGAGGGTATCAAGCCTATGGTGAAGATGTTCAGACCACAAACATTGATGAAGACCTTTAAGGTAGCTGAACTGCAGGAATCTTCCTTGGAAATCCAGTCTAAGCAAAGTAAGGCTTCAGGGAGGGTTGCAGTGGAGCCAATATTTGGAATGTATAGGAATTCTGCAAATAACCAGAATCGCCAAAACTCCTACAAGTTACCTGCCATCAATCCCCTTTCCCAGAAAACTGACTTAGTGCACAGAGAGTTCAGCAGAATATTTGCTGAGGAAATGCAGTTTAGGCATAAGCATAACCTGTGTTATAGATGTGAAGAAAAATTTGGAGTTGGACGCTAGTGTGAGAAAGGAACTTTGAACTGTCTAGACACTGAAGAAGGGGAAGATACTGAGTTTGAGGGTGCAGAAGGAGAACAAGATGAACTTACAGGAAGAGTGGGAGAACTTGCAGAAGTATCCTTAAATGCTCTTTCTAGTACTCTAAAGAGAAAGTCTATCATGTTGATGGGCAATTTGGGAGGGTTTCCAGTCAAAATTTTAGTGGACACAGGAAGCTCTGATAGCTTCATTAACCATAGGATTGTCAACTTGTTGCAACTGTCATATCAATCAGTTAATCCATTCATTGTAACTTTGGCTGATGGCACTGATATTACCAGTGGAGCTATGGGCCCCAATGTCACTTGGTTGATCCAAGAGTACAGATTCCAATTTGACCTGAAAATCATGGAATTAGGGGGTGGGACATCATCTTGGAAGTCGATTGGATGTGCCAGTTCAGCCCCATCACATTTGATTTTCACTTTCTCAGTATTGTTTTTAGCAGTAGAGGGAGTTTACTGCACCTTCAAGGTTTTGTCAACCAATCTGAAATGGAACTAGTGAGAGGCAAGGATCTCAGAACCTTCATACAGGAGAAATAAAGAAGCTGTGCAGCCATGCAAACAGATGTAGCAAGGGGCCAGAGGAACTACTGTCTGAGCCTATAGATAAGGTCTTACAACAATACTCTTAGGTGTTCACAACTCCAAAAACTTTGCCCCCAGAGAGAGAGCTAGACCACCGGATCAACCTTAAACCAGGAGCTGAACCTTTCAAGCTCAAGCCTTACAGGTACCCCCACTCCCATAAAACTGACATTGAAAGGTAAGTTGCTGAGATGCTTACTAATGGGATTATTATTCATAGTACCAGTCCCTTTGCCTCCCCTGTGTTGCTAGTTAAAAAGAAGGATTACACCTGGAGACTGTACATTGATTACAGAAGATTGAATGACTTGACTGTAAAAGACAAATTTCCTATCCCCAACGTAGATGAACTATTAGATGAGTTACATGACACGAAATATATGTCCAAATTGGACCTCAGGGCTGGTTATCATCAGTTGAGGGCGAAGGCAATTGACACTCCCAAAACTGCCTTCCAAATACATCATGGACATTTTGAATTCTTAATAATGCACTTTGGATTGACAAATGCACCAATTACATTTCAAGCACTGATGAACAGAATACTCCAACCGTATCTAAGGAAGTTTGTCTTAGTTTTTTTTTAATGATATTTTGGTGTACAGTCCCTCTCTGGAATCACATGCACAACACTTGCAGACCGTGCTCAGTGTTTTGGTAGAGAACCAGTTGTACTGTAAGAGGTCAAAATGTTCATTTGCTCAGACCTCAATTGAGTATTTGGGACATGTGATCTCTGAAACAGGAGTGAGCATGGACTTTGCTAAAATTGAGTGTATTTAGTCCTGGCATACCCCTACAACAGTCAAAGAGTTGAGAGGTTTCCTTGGTTTGACTAGATATTATAGAAGATTCATCAGAGGGTATGGGGTGATTAGTAAACCACTGACACTGTTATTAAAGAAAGAAGGCTTTGCATGGAACCATAATGGTCAAATGGCATTTGAAGACTTAAAGAGAGTTATGACCACAGCTCCTGTATTGAACATGCCAAATTTCGAACTTCCTTTTGTGATAGAGACTGATGCCTGTGGGGTTGGCATGGGAGCAGTGTTGATGCAGCAGGGTCATCCTATAGCTTTTCTTAACAAAGCTCTATCAATTCAAAATCTAGGGTTGTTAGTGTATGAGAAAGAATTGCTTGCTTTGGTGTTGGCTGTCAACAAGTAGAGGCATTAACTGGTCGGCTACCACTTCATCATCATGACAGATCACCAAGCTCTCAAGCATCTGCTAGAGCAAAAACTCACCCAACCACTACAACACAAACGGCTTACTAAGCTACTTGGTTTAGATTATGAGATACAATATAAGAGGGGTGTAGAGAATGGTGTAGCTGATGCTTTTTCCAGAAGAAGAATGGAGGGGGCCTCTGATAGCAATAGGGAAGCTGAGCTGCAGGTAGCTCAGGTGTGTGCCATATCTTCTATTCAACCTAGGGACACAGGAGCTTCTGGAGAGCTACATAGGGGATGCACAGGCTCAGCAGAAGTTGTCTGAGCTAGTGTTGACCCAATGTAGACCCAGATTTTCATATGAAAAATGGAGTGCTCAAGTTCAAAGGAAAGCTGTATGTGGGCACAACTAATGGAGTCAGAACCAACCTGATCAAAACCTTGCACGATTCAGCTGTTGGAGGGCACTCAGGACAGAGGGATTGTCTTCACAGGGTGTGGTATTTATTTCATTAGCTTGGAATTAAAGGAGATATCATCCAGTATGTGAGGTCTTGTGATGTGTGTCAAAGGAACAAACATGAGAATGTCCCTTATCCTGGCTTGCTGCAGCCTATTCCAGTGCCTCAGCAAGCTTGGTCCCACCTCACCATGAATTTTATTGAACAGCTGTCACCCTCTCATGGCTTTGACACCATCTTGGTAGTGGTGGATCGTTTCACTAAGTTCAGTCATTTTATCAAACTCACTCATCCTTATTCTGCACAGCAAGTAGCTCAGGTTTTCCTTAACAACATTTACAAGTTGCATGGGTTGCCAGAGACAATCATAATTGATAGGGACATGATTTTTCTTAGCAACTTCTGGCAAGAGTTGTTCAGCTTGGTTGGAGTAAAACTACACTATAGTTCCTCTTACCATCCACAATCAGAAGGTCAAAGTGAAAGAGTCAATCAGTGTTTGGAAAACTAGCTCAGGTGCATGTGCAGTAAACATCCTTCCCACTGGAGTAGTTGGCTTGCCACAGCCGAGTTATGATACAACACTAATTTTCATACCAGCTTATAAATCACTCCCTTTGAAGCACTGTATGGATATAAGCCGAACCATATCTCACTGGGGCCCTTTCATGATAGCATCATACCTGCTGCAAGCAATATGGTTCAGTCAAGGTTACATGTCATATCTCTCATCAAGGAGAACTTGGCTAAGGCTCAAAATCGTATGAAGTTATTCGCTGACAAGCATAAGTCTGAGAGGATCTTTCAAGAAGAGGATTGGTGTTCCTCAAACTACACCCTTACAGGCAGCAATCAGTAGCTATACGTAGGATTGTGAAGCTGGCTGCCAAATACTTTGGATCCTTTCAAATTATTGCAAAAGTGGGAGCATTGGCTTACAAGCTTAAATTGCCAGAGGGGGCTCGCATTCACCCAGTGTTTCACGTATCACTACTTAAAAGGAAGATGGGAGTGACATAGGTAGTGGAGTCTACCCTGCCAGAATTGGATGCAGCAAATCAATGCTTATTAAGGCCCGAGAAGGTACTCCAGAGACGGGTCATCATGAGAGCTGCTCAACCCATCATCCAGTACTTGGTGAAATGGAATAACCTACCAGAATCCGAATCTTCATGGGAGGATAGAAGCTTCATAGACAGGCAATTTCCAGGTTTCAAAGCTTGAGGGCAAGCTTTTGTTTAAGGGGATGGGATTGTCAGGACCAAAGGAATTTGAGTACATGTCGTTTAGTGTCGGGAATTGTGCGTTTTAGAAGCAAATAATAAGACGACACCGTTACACTTAAATAGGCGCGGTGATTGTAATTGAAACACAATTGAATACCATTCAGTAGGGGCAAATTGCATAAATAGCCCTTGTAACAGAAATACGGTTATCACATTTATTGCAATAGATTCACTTTGCTTCCCTCTCTCCTTTCTGTTACCTTTCCCCTTTCTCTCACTTTCCTCTACTTTTTCTTCTTCTTCCTTCTCTCAATTTCTGTTCAATTTCTTGATTTAGCCTGCGAGCCTGACAGATTCCCCCGATTCAGTTGGGTCATTTCTTAGAGTAGGCTCCCTCGGTAGGAAGTTAGACTATACTAGATGTACAGTTACATAAAAAAAAAAAAAATTGCACACCGTACGATTGATCTGACAGATGCTTAAAATCGAAGAACTTGCAGTTTGCAAATTGAATACTCAAGTTCAACTTGATTATCTACTTAGGTTGAATCACATTAAAAGCTCAGTTAAAGTCCGACATAAATTGCAATTACCAAAACAGATGCGACATTTGTAGTTTTAGTGGTATAGGCTATTCTTGAAGTTGAAGCAGATCCCTGGTATAGGCTATTCTTGAAGTTGCTTGTGGTTTCAATTGCAAAAGCAGCATAGTTAATTCACTAGAAAGTCAAATTAAACCTTGACAGAGTGATTCTTAAATGCATGCAGAAGGAAAAATGTAGCAGAATCATATTAGGACCTTCATCATTAATAGATAATATTTTCATCGGCTAAGTTAGGTATTAAAGATATTATAAAGAATGTTTGCATTATTGCTCATGTGTCTTGGCTTAGTGCATAAACTAAGTTGGACTATTTTCAAGATCATAGAAGCAGTCAAGCAGACTAGAACCCCCAATAAAACAGGTACAGTACACAATGTACAGGTGTTTTATTCTTCAAAGTAACAATTGGACCAGTAATTCAAAGTTGAAAGTTGAAACAAAATGATACCAAGTGCCAGATTCGTCTAAATGCTTGAATCGGTTCAGGGGTTGAGGTTAGAGCATGCCTCCGTTTCCGGGACCAATAAGTCAATAACACGGCTCGGCTCCAGGACCACAGGTGGCTTTCAGGGCTCTCACCGGGAGTAATGCATATTTTAGTTGGCTAGTGACTCCAGCAAACATAAGAACAACCCAGACAGAGAAATCCCGCTTCGCACCTCCCAATCACTCGCTAGCCATTATCAATTTCTTCACCTAAATGCAAGCTGCTCTTGCAGCTATGGCCGCCCATTTTATCCTCTCTTTCACGGCCGTCAACCACCATCCTCTCCTCTCCCAACTCTCCAATCCCATTTCCGCTTCTTCTTCGCCTTCTTCTTTATCACTTCATTCCTCATTTCATGGGGCATCTCTCAAGCTTCCCCGCCAATTTTCCGCCGCCGCACCTAAGCCTATCACTGTCGTGGCAGCCACCAAGAAAGCGGTTGCTGTCCTCAAAGGCACCTCGAATGTGGAAGGCGTCGTCACTCTCACCCAAGATGATGATGGCCTCACAACTGTGACTGTAAAAGTTAATGGGCTTACTCCAGGGAAACATGGGTTCCATTTGGTTAGTCTTTTTATTCCTTTAATTTTGTTCCACTTTATTACTGTTAGCCAAATATCTATGGTTTGTCTTGCTCAAATTTTTTTTTTTTTTTTTCCAATTGGGATTTTCATAGCATGAGTATGGTGATACCACAAACGGGTGTATGTCAACAGGTTCGATTTTTATTAGTATTTAAAGCTTATTTTAGTGGAAATGATGGTTTATTCCTGCATTTTTCTGGGCGAAATCTGTTGGTGATTGTGGTTTACCGTGCATTAACAGGAGCGCACTTTAATCCGAAAGGGTTGACTCATGGAGCTCCTAAAGATGATGTCCGTCATGCGGGTGACCTGGGAAACATAGTTGCCAATGCCGATGGTATTGTTTAGATTGATCGTTTTATTCAGTTTGAGAAATATAGAAGGCGTTTTCGTAGTGAATTACAAAATAAGAAAGGAAATGTAACATGAAGGGAGGATAGGAGGAAATGGATTTCTTACTCGTCGACTTTTAAGTTGATATTGCAGAAACCAACTTATATATTTATGGAGACCTAATAAAAGCATACATATTTCTTAAATTCAAAGTTATTTACTGGAAGTAACCTGTAATTGTTTACTCAAGATTGGATCTTTTTGTTTTTATCAGAGCTGATGATTGTGACTTTTTCTGTAATCCTGATGTTGTTCAATGTTATCCAGGTGTGGCTGAGGCAACCATCGTGGACAATCAGGTATATTGATCTTCTGCTGCTCTGAATTGTGTGTATGATCATATTTGACAATTCTTATCGAGGAATGTGATTCTATGTTTCACGTCCAGATACCTCTGAGTGGTCCAAACTCGGTTGTTGGAAGGGCTTTGTAGTTCATGAGCTGGAGGATGACCTTGGAAAGGTAAAGTTACTGTTTATGTTCATATTTTTCAAGATGTACTGTTCTTGTTGTTTTTGAGTCCGTAGAATCTAAGGATAACCCAAATTGCTGCTGTTATGAGCTTTATTAGTATGTCATTAACCTTTCCTTTTGGCTGTCAATCTGTAGGTGGTCATGAACTCAGTCTAACTACAGGCAATGCTGGTGGAAGATTAGCTTGTGGTATGCAAATACATTTTTCTCCCACACTTCATTACTTTCTTATTTTAAGTTCCAGTACCTGCTTTCTTTTTTGCCTGGGGAGCACAATGACTACATCATGCACCTAACATTATGCCTAAGTTCCTTCCTTCAGCCACCAGCTAGTTTATTGCTAGTTTCATTTGTGATGAATTACTTTCAACTTTGATAACAGTATTGAAAAAGTTTAGTTATGGCTGTGGGGAGGTCTTAATTGCAATTCCACACTATCTATCTGTGTTGCGTAACTTCACTGTTTGTTGAGGACCTTATGGAAAACATTGAAATAGTGTGGTTGTTGTTATTGTTTTGCAGCTGAGATTCTTGTGACTTTCGTGGTGCATCATAATCTCACAGAAATTTTGGCTGTTGATCCTTGTTTTTCTACATCATCAAACGCTGCTAGTCCATTGAGTTGTAGGAGGTTGTTTTCATTTGAATTCATTTCCAATTGGTCCTTTGTTCTAACTGAAGTCATATAATTAATCTGCTGGTCTTTTGTTAATGTCCCTTTTCCTTCTTCCTTTTTTTTCTGTTCCCCTAAAAAAATTCTGGATAAGACATTCTGACTATGATCGTCAGTATGCCAAAGTGTTGAGTCAGTTATAGAACTCAACTTTCTGTGCAATCACGAGGTAGACGAGTGTGTCTGTCTTTTGTGCTTCTCTTGCTTGGAAATCTTCTACAAACTCATTTTTGTTGGATGTTTTTCTCCAGCCCTGGTGGGGGGAGGGTTTGGTTGGTCCCCTTACTAAAATTTTTGGATGATGATTTACATGGTTAATGCACCATTGATCTCTTTAATCCTTAACGCATGCTTCCTTTCTGAACAAAGACATCTGTGGAGGAGCATATCGTGGAGAGTGGTTTTTGGTTTTCTGCCACTAGAACCTTTGTCCTGTATCCGAGCAGTTATTTGCCTTAGAAGTTAAGTCTTAGTTTTCTTCTCAAATAAATAGTAAAGTGATACGAAGCTTACATGCAGAGTGCAAGCTAAGAAAGCATGGATTTTTGCATGTCTGCATCTTTTCATTGTAAAACTTATAGCGTATTTGACCAGATTGCTGTCTATGTCTCATTTTGCAAATATTATTTAGCTTTATGCATTGCAGCTTTACTTCTTATTTTAACTGTCATATACAGCCCATGCAGATTAATCTTTCTTGTCACATCTAGATGAATGGATTAAGGTTCTTGAGTTAGTGCAGTGTAAAAAGAATATCTAGAAAGCCCTATGGTGTTTCAGTGTCTCTAAATGATGTGCTCAGAAGTGTGTCTGAAAAGAATATTGCTAGAATTTAAGTTTTCCCCTTAATGTCCCCATTCCCATCCAAACATTCAGCATAGCTGATATTCTGAAGTCTCACCTGTTAGGGACCTTCCCAGATGCCCTTAAAAAGATTGGGCAATAAAATTTCATTCTTGTCAGATGCCATTGGCCACAGATTGAGAGAGCAAGTAATCATCATTGCATTCATTTATAACCACCTTTGCTTGGGGTCAAACCCAGAATATCATAAACAGGAAACATACATAACCAAGTGTACAGATGATGCATTTAGTAGGTGCACAAAAACAAATTATGAGGAATGGGGTGATGCATTTCTTCCAGAAAAGTTGTCAATTTATTAAGAATATACATAAATATTTCTGTTGTTACAATTATAGGATTTGCAAATACGATCAGTCTATAGTTGATCAGTTGACCTTTGGTTCAAGGAATATTCAATGGCAACTTTTATCTAGATGCATATTTTCTTTTCTTAAATTTAGTCATAGGACTGATGTAGAAATCAAAATCACGCCAGTGTACTTCCAAGACTTTGATTGTGCCTGTTTCCAGAGGCTTAGAGATTGTAGCTTCTGTATACCATGCTAATGTGTAGTTCTTGGGAAAAAACTTCTTACATCGCTCCACTCTGCATGTGGCTTTCTTGATCAAGTAATGCATTGTTCCAGAACTTGTTTATGTTAGTTTATTATCTTAGGACGCAAGCTGTTGAAGGGCATTTTTTTTTTTTTGTTGCATTTTTCGGGTATTAATAGTTACATGTCGTGAGCTCCTCTTTATGAAGGTTGAATCATGGATGTTATCCTTTGTGTTTACTTTCTTTCTTCTTGTTGAAATTTTTCGAAGCAAGTTGGTTAATATGCCTCAAAGAGATCCATGTAGTCTGTAAATAGCATTCATGAGGAAAAGGTCTAGTTCACACAGAGGTACATGTACAGTTCCTGTACAAACAACTTTGTTATTCCTCCGTATCTAGTGATACCACAACTTTTTCCTCCTGTGTGATGTTTTCAAGACTAGGCATGTACATATATAGTAGATAAAATTCCATAGTGCATGATAACATGCCTCTGGTGTAATGATGCTTTAGAAACTACTAATAGTTCGATTAGGATGTGATTGGTTCTTGATCTCAACAAAGGGCTCTAGAAAAGGCTTCTCATGATGGGATGCAAAATATTGGTATACCTGGACGATCTAAATTCTTTCATATTTATGTGCCTTATCCATGATTTGTTGGTGGTTTCACTTTCACCTGCTATGCTTGATCCTGTTTTATTTAAGATAGCTGGCATACTTTATCATCTGATCTTATCTGCAGGTGTTGTCGGTTTGACTCCCATATAAGTGAGCTAGCTTGGACCTAAAGATCACATCGGTGAACACTTGTGGTGTTTAAAGTTTGATATGGAGTTGAATGGAGAGGATGTCCAATTGGAAGAGCAACTGATTGTTGTCTTGTGAAGATGCAGCTAAATGCTGTATGAACGAATTTGCATACTATTTGTTTATGCTTAAATGAAGTGAATAAATTTCAATGCTTGGACTTAGATTTGTGGATATTTTTCTGAACTCTCAGTATTGTTCTTCCTGAATGACCTCGGTTAGCATTTTGGCTTTACTAGCGCATTAGCCTGATCTTGATGATTAACACCAGTGTTCGAATTCCTCCCCTCTCCCTCTCCCCTCTCCCCTCTCACGGCTCCATGCTTGACAGCAAAAACCTTAAGAATAAGAAGATCCACCTTCTTGCACTGCCTTCCTAGCTGTTTCTTTTACGGCCTTTGCTCGACCTCTGATGTTAAGGGCTTTTTCTCCATCCATAATACGATCCACTGCCTTGGTTAAAGCTTCTGCTTTTATGATTTCAGTCGTGATTCTGCTCCATTCCTGAGCCCCAACGCTAACACCAATTTTCAAGACATCCGTCAACAATTTTTCATTGAAAAACTGCCTCTGCAAACAAGGGCCATGCAACCATTGGCACACTGCAACGTACGCCCTCTAGAGTTGAATTCCATCCACAGTGAGTCACGAATGCTCCCACAACTGCATGCTCAATAACGGTAGAATTTGAAGCAAAAGGCATTCAAAGAGATGCAACTGAAACTAATGTCCGACATGAAACTGTCATTAACTTCTTCCACTAATAATGTTCTGGCAAACCATGTTCTCCAAACCTTAATTGAAAACTAAGGAGTTTTAATTAATTACAACTTACACCAACAAAAGGCTATTATTAGCACTTGTACCAATTGCTTGAACGGTCACTCCAACAAAATGACATTCCCAAAATACCCATCCCCAATTAATTCATGACACTTATTGTCAACAAACCCCTCTCTCCTGAGTTTAATTACTAACTAAGAACGTTTACATAAATTCAGTGAAACAAATGTTGTTGTCACTTGTACCCACTGCTAAAAATACAATTAAAATAATGGTACATTCCTATAATACCCGTTTTTTTTTTTTTTGTAAACAACACTTTATGGGCATTTACCGCATAGAAGACCGTATATGCCAAAGCTAAAAACAAAAGTTGTACCAACAATTATACTCTGCGCTATAACAACACTCTAAACAACCTCACAATCCCAAAATGCCTGTATCCTTGCGGTTGAAATTCAAAAGTCATTTTGTCCTAAATTTGTTCTTATACAGTGTAAGGAAACGCATCGTTAGAGGTTGAAGATCTATCAGCTCCACGCGTTCTGCTGCCTCCACCTCAAAAGATTCCAAAAACACATTTAACATCACTACAATGCCGCCATCGGTTGGTGCAGTTTAGGTACAAAAGAAACATCATGTTTAGGACTCGGGATGTCGAGGAAATGCTAAATAAATAATAGATGCAATAATTTGCATGACAACTGATAAATCTAATCAAGCTTTTTATAAGGTAAAGATACTTGATAGTAAAACCTTTAGTAAATCCAAAAGGCATCTTGGCAACTTTGTCTTTCTTTTCTTTAGTAAGAAAAAACGGTCAGGATAAGCAGTGGCGGAGCTAAAAAAAATTTTAGTGGGGGCAAAAATAGTACTAAAATTTTTTATCTACTCTTTTTCTAGTTTTTTAAGCAAAAAAATAAATAAATTCCCCAACAAGTACAAATGATATGTATATTCCATGAAAAACATAAAAGGACAAACTCAAAATTATTAATGTAATAATAATTTTATTTCAAAAACAAACTAAATTATTTACAATTGCTCACGACGAATTTTCATATTTTAATAATGGTTTATAACTTTCTCATTTTGAACTTCACAAAATAAATTTTTCTTAATATAAGTAACTAAACTAAATTTTATGATCAATTCTTTCACATATTTTCTAAAAAAATTCTGGAGGCACACTTAAAATTATGTCAAAATTATATAAGTATCATAGAAATTTAAGTGGAGGCCCGTGCCCCGGTTCCTCCACCTTAAATCCGCCCCTGAGGATAAGTTTTTGGGAAAATAAGTAGATTATCTACTAATATAATTTTTATATCGATTAACAAAATCTCTGTGAAAAAGGTACCTGTTCTTACTAACAGATCCTACATGTGTAACAATTGTGCCTACATATGATGCTATAACCATACATACTGATCTTTATCTTCCCCCAACACTCCCCGCCCCAACTAAAGTATGCGGATCAGCCAAAAGGGTTGAAGGATTAGTGAAATACATATTCCAAGATTGATGGGAAATTTACACTTGATCAAGACATGTCATTAGATTGTGATTTATCAGAGCAGTGGTATCACCATATCGGGCCTCTAATTAACTCAAACCATCTGTCGCTGTTGTTCATATTTGATCAAAGAACCTAGTCAAGTGGAATAAAAGATTTCCGAGTAAAAGGATTTTTAGGGTGTTTCAGTCCACCAGTCACCAGATGAGCCAATTGCACCAATGAAATTTAGCAATTCTTTCTGACAATGTTACATGATTGCTCTACTGTTTCTCGATCTATTATTCTATTCCTTGAATAGTAAATGATCAAAATATTTGGTACTGTGTGAGTGCGTGTGTTGTGAGGGAGTGGGATACCATGCTACCAAACCAGAGGGAACAGCGTAACAGTGGCGTTGTTACTACCATACGTGCTTCTCACACCAAGCCATCCCTTATTTATTTGTTACGCCAAGAATCTCCCCACCCCATCCAAATCTCATTCTTGACTTTTTCGCTTCTTAATTCCTTTAATCTTTTAAAATTTAATGGGCACCATGCCACCCATTTGGAGTTCCTCATCACCGGTTTGGATTATTAAATCATCTCTCCCGATCGAGGGTTAGTTTCTTTTATCTAATGGCCTCCATTTTCTTGCTGATTGCAGTTTTTTCCTGCATTCTTCACGCATGTTGAACTCCATTTTTCTTGCTGATTGCAGTTTATTCTACATTCTTCATGCATGTCGGATCAGATGAAGCCTAAATCATGTCTAACTCATTCCTATTTCCCCGAGTCCGAGTGCAGTTCGTTCAACTCCTCCATTAGTTAATATGTATACATTTCTACTTGGCTCTAGCGATTGGCTTTTCCAGTTTAACAACCTCTCTATGATTTACTTCTTTCATTCATCTCTTGCCATGAAAGTTCGAAATTGAGATTAATCTCAATCACTATTTGTAAATGAATGAAAGAATATTTAATTAGCTAAGGCTTTATTGTGTTAATTTCCATCGACGCGTGGTTTTCTGAATTGATTTTCCCATGACATAATAGTCAGACATGGCTTTTCCGATGACTTGATGCCTCGCAGATCAAGTTATCAGGAAACACTATACAATAATGTAAAATTAAACGCCATGCCTTCCTTCTCATTTTGTGATGCGGATTACTTGACATCAGTTGTTTGACTATGATATAAACTACTAAGAGTTTCATCATCTCTTGAGAAAATTTTAGTGTTTTGGAGAAAAGCTAATTGGATTTGTCTAAGATTAACATTTTATATAAATGGGAACCATAAAAGTTATACTGGTTGGTTGAAAGCTCAAAATTTATGCAGCAACGAGTCTTGTGCTAATGTAATTAGAGATTGGCAGAGAAGCAGTGCCCATACAAATGTTCATTGGCTGAATCTCACACGAAATAGAAAAACTAAGGATGATAAAGCAATTCTGGTTGAACCTAAGCTAGCTTCTGAGATTATAGCAATTCTTTTGACGGAAATTAATTTAGGAGTGTACTTTTAATATCTGTGGAATAAACTGATTATTGGACTTGCAAAGATACAATCAAGTAGCCTATTCTTTTAGGCGAGCGATGTATAATCAAATCGTGTTGAACAATTTTCATCTAGGCTATTTAGTAGTGACATATATTTATTTTTTTTAAATTCTGGCTGCCCAACTATAGGTACCTACTCTCACCTTTAAGAAAAGGAAGTTGAACATTTATATAACAAGAGATTAGCACAATACTTCTTACAGTAATAGCATTTTTTTGGCCAACTAAGATCAAAATTAAGAGCATTAATTAATAACTTCTTTCGAATTGTTTCACGAGCCTTATCTTCGCCCCAAGTTATCCCGATTGCTCGGATAAAAATTGAATAGAATCCGAGACTGCAACCATAAGCAGTAAAAGCTTCGGCATATGGTACCTAAAAAACCAAACACTAGAAGCCTGATAGAAGGTATGCCATTCGAAATCTTTAAATACACGAATAAAAGTTGATGTTCGGACACATCTGTACAATATATATTCATGTAGACAATTCATAAGTAATTCTATCAGCAGTTTTTTCTTTTTCTTTTTTTTTTAAGTAAGCAGCCAACCCATCTGACTACCACATCGGCTGCTGTAGTTCACTTAGAGGAGGACCACTCACATGCAGCAGAAAAGAATATTGTTATTTGAAATCAATAAACTTTAAATATCAGATAAATTAATGTAAGTAGCATGTTATTGTCATATGTATAAAGATTAGGTGTCATCTTGGGATTTTGGGGCTCAGTAAATAGCAATCAAAAGGAGGGGATTTTTTTTTTTTTTTTGGGTAGAAAAAAGTTTGAGTGTGTTCGTCTCCGATCACCACCACAGGTCAGAGCATATCTCGAAACTATAGGTCAGGAGTTCTTACAAATTATCTACCAACACTGCTCTTAAAAGTCATATCGGTAGCAGAATTCGAATACACGATCTTTTGTGAAAAGTTGGTTCATCTTTACTAATTGAGCCAACATAAGCTGATAAGAAATGGATCAAATTATTTGTAAGACACAAATTTTAATAAGTAACAATATTGATTGGATTAATCTTATATACACTGTCAGTGTATACACTATATCACCGTTAAATATATGATACATGTGCAAAATTTGCTCATGTGTCATCCATCCAACCGTGTTAGTGTATACACTGAGAGTGTATATTAAATTTACTCATATTGATTGTACTTTTGCACATTAATATTTTAGTGTTAATATTTATTGTCATAATAATTACATCTATTTTATAGTACATTATATGGTTCACGATAATTGCAGAGGTCACAAAAAAAAAAAAACCGGTGTCATTGTCAACGGTTATGAATAAAGAAAATAAGTAATAGACTTTTGATGCTTAATTACCCAAGCCGGAGAAAATGTCCACTTGAGTAGAAACCAAGTTGTTCTTGATTTGCGATTAGTACACGATTTGGCAACCAAACCTATGAGCATTTTGCTTAATAATAAAAAACGACGTAAGAGCATGGTCCTCGAACATATGCTTTTTAAGTTCGACCACCATCCACATCGTTCATTATGGCCTCCACGTGGATGATTTTACTCTAATCCATCCTTTTTAGTCCTTGAATACTGTCTTAAATTTCTATTTTCAAGCCATATTTTGTGGGCCCATGAAAGTAATCAAAATCAGGCTGCTAATTAATACTAATGTTTGTGGCTTGCACTTAAGTATAAGAAACCATAAACTCTGTTACTCTTAGTCCTAAATTAGTATACAAGTGGAATAGATGTGCCTAATTCACTTGAAGTAGAAAAATTATTTTGGGGGAACCACAAAAAGAGAGTTGGTATGCTTCCTTCAACAGCCATCTTGATCGAACTGCTTGGCATTTTTTGAAAAATAATTATGTAGAGAATCTGAGTAATGCTGTTGCCCCTCAACAACTAAATCAAGAGAGACTAAAATAACAAGAAAACTTGTCACTTTGGACCAATTTTTTAGGTTTCATTTCCAGCCTTTCATCATTAATTGTGATGGTCAACTAATCTACGCAATTAATAATTGATATGGAATTATTAATGGGCCGACTTTACTAAAATGTTTAATCAATTTTTAATGGTAATATAATTGCGAAACCTTGTGCACATATTAGATTAAAATCAGCTTATTAGTTAACCACTTCGAAATATTCATTTAGTTTTAGATTCTGTTGAAGATAAAAATACCTTTCAAATCTTTTTGCAACAAGTTGGCAAACTGTTGCAAAATTCACGTAGCCAGATGTAGATTTTTATATTGGGCAGCAACATCTTAGCTATCAATATTAGCGGAGTATTAATTTGTCATTTTTTTTGTTTGGACAACTCATTCCGATAATGTATTGGAGCAATTGATTTTTCTTCTCGTAAACAGCACCTAACAGGTTTCGCAGTTCCTTCCTGCAATCTTCTCTTGTTATAATGTCTGTACAGTTTAATCCATTATAAACTATTCCAAAAAAGAACCGGAAAAGCTATAGAACAGAAAGGTATATATGAAAGGCCAATTGGATGCTGTTTTTCTCTTTTTCTTTCTTTAATTTTCCTTATGTAAGACATGGCCAGGCATTTCATACTTTCTGTTTCACTTTGTGTGTGTGTGTTCAATTTTTTGAGTCATATCATCTCATGATATTAATTATTTCTTGATCTACTTTATAGACACAGTTAGACACCTGATTAAAGATTATTGCGAGTCCTCTTCAATTGTCAGAATTAAAGATTAATTAGCTGAAAAATCCTCTCTTAATTAATCATGGCCCAATTGGACCTGGAATATGATAGACAAAATTGTTTTTCTTAATACTAATCATCATCATCATCGGAGAGATGTCAGTTCAGCGTTAGGTTCCATCAGCCCTATCCTGCGAACATGTGGTGCCCAAGTCGTATGATAGTGAACTGTTTTAGCTGATCCAGCAATAATTAATTAGTCCCTCCACCACCATAATTCACACTTGAAATTAGATGATTAAATCCAAAAAACAATTAACGCAATAAACTGCTGGCTGTTAATTTTTGGCATCACATTCAAATTCCATTGCTTCGTGCCTGCGGGATCATTGTACCATCTATGATACCGCTCTAAATTCTCTGTTCCGAAATTATTTTTCTGTCCCATCTATCCTGTACGTATTTGTACAACAACCACCACGTACATTGATGCGTTGATAACACAAGCAAACTGATAATACTTCACAGTTCACTCTGCTGACCCAAGAAAGATACCCCTACGGCGCAAACTGCAAACTACAAAGCGGGCAGCATGTATAGAGCCTCAGAAACCAATGGGCAGTTTGCCAGCCAACTTTGATCTCATATACATGGGCATGCACGAGCTAGTGTGTGCGAGTGTCCCTACTCAAGCTGCTTTGCTTACACCTCCCACCAGCTTTGGACGAGAGAATGGGAAGAAAAGATAGAGACAGATAAAAGGAAATATACTACCAATTTTATCATCAATTTAAGAGAATAGTTGCTGAAAAGGCAGTTGTGGTGAGCCAAACGAATCTCGTTATTTTGCCTCTTGAATCCCTCTCTCTTTCACGCACACACGTAGTTAGGACTGACTTAGTACAGTGGCACTTTTTTCTTGATGATCAGTTTAAGAAGGCATGGAGGGAGTGAGGTGGAGCATGCTTTGAACGTGCAATTCCTTAGCTTTAATGGCTGTATTTATTCGTGACTTTCGCTGGCAAAACAATGCGTACAAAGAAAGTGTGAAACCGACTTAATTAATTAAAACGCTGTTAATAACTTTCCCTTCATCTACTTTTACCCTAACCTTGTGTCTCATCTTTGCTGATCAGTTACAACTGGACTTCCCCATAATTCTCTTCTGTAAGGATTCTAGCCAGTTAGTGTAACATGTATGTATGTTTTCTATGTAATTGCAAGTCAGTTCCATTTGTCACAGTGTTTTAACTCTTGAGCCTCTAATTAAGAAGCGTATTAACTATACTAATCTTTTTTCCTTGGTTGTCATTTTAGGAGTTTAATTGACGTACTTTTTTTAAAAGGGGGGTTTTTTTTTTTTCCTACACTCTACACACTTGAGTGTACGATCGTTCATGCAACGTACATCACTTCCCATAAATTAATGCCTAAAACAAACTCTATGCAATACTGACCCTCCAAAGAGGGGATTAGTTAATTGTACCTAAGAGGTTTGACATGTTAGGAGTACCTTTTAGAGTGAGTGTAGTTAATAAGGAAAAACACTTTTTTCTTTTCCAAGTTGGAAATGAAAGGAAAGATTGGTGGCTACAAACTAACACATAGAAAATGTTCACGAGGCTGGCTTTTGACTCCAAACACTTCCTTACCATTCACTGTCCTCGGTGCGTGTATGTATATATACATATATATATATATATATATATATATATATATATATATATAAACCACAACAAAAGCCCACTATCACTCCTATTTCTCAC